CCGGCTCCGGGCTCCCCAGCGCCCGCGGAGCTCGGCTCGGCAGCGGGGAGAGCCCCCGGCCGCCGCGGGGCCTGGGGCCCGGGCTGAGGGCGAGGCCTGGCCGGGGGGTGCCGCTGCCACGGGGGAGCCCCCGGGGCAAGGTGTCCTCGTCGCCGAGGATTCGGGAAAGGCGCCTCATTCAACCCCTCGGGGTCTTCCTTCAGCCCAGGCGTTTTTTTCACCGTATTAAACACACCAGGTATAAACAGCAGCGGGGGCCCGGGGGTGGGGGATGCGCTGGCCCGGCCGGGGTGATTCGGTGCCCGTGGCATCCTCATTCCTCCTCGGGCTGCCACGTTTGTCCTGGGGTGGATGGCTGGCTGGATAATGGGTCGGCTGCTGATGGAAAGGGAAACGGTGCTTTTTAGTTGGGCGCTTTTGGTGAAGTGGGGCCGTTAACAGCGGGAACGAATCTGGAGTGTTTTGGACCAAAGTGGAATAATCCTCAGACAAGCGTAACCTGTTAAAATACAGCTTTCGTGAGAATTTCCTAAACCTTAGAGTACCAACCCTTCTGATTTCCAAAACACAACTGACTTTTGGGATTTTTTTGTCTGTTTTTCAGATTCCCTCTGAAGGATTCAAAGCGTCTGATTCAGTGGCTGAAAGCTGTTCAGAGAGACAACTGGACTCCCACCAAGTACTCCTTTCTCTGCAGCGAGCATTTCACCAAAGACAGTTTTTCTAAGCGGCTGGAAGACCAGCACCGGTTGCTGAAGCCCACTGCTGTCCCCACCATCTTCCAGCTTGCAGAGAAAAAACACGACAACCTGGATTATGTCAGAAGCAGAAGAAAAGTAGCAAGCAAGGTGCCGCAGCAGGATGGAGAAGACCCAAGGGAAGGAGGCTGTGAGGTAGTTCAGAGGACCTCGTCTTCTGGCCAGGACTTCATGGTGATTCAAGGGACGACGAAGATGGAGGAGGTGACTTGCAAAGCAGAAATTGGATCGGTGTCCAAGGAGGAAGAGAACCTCCGCAGTCAGCTGGATGGCCCTCGGAGAAGGACGTTAGGTGATAATTTGGTTGCAAAGCCTGGACCTCAGAAAAAGCCTGAGAGATCTTCTGTGGAGGACTGTCCCAAAGCCACCTGGGTGGGGAGCTGGGTAGCAGACAGAAGTGGTGTGTCTGTCGATGACTTCACACCTCCTGCCTCTGGTGCTTGCAAGTTCATCGGCTCCCTTCATTCTTACAGCTTTTCCTCAAAGCATGCCAGAGAGCGGCCATCGTTCCCAAAAGAGCAGCTAGAAAGGAAAAGGCCAAAGAGAGAGGTGGAACCGAGCTGCAGCAGCCATCTCATGGGACACGATAAGGCTGTCGCGGAAGGCTCCCCTACTTCATCCCTCACTGCGACCCCTCAGAAACCTTCCCAGGGCTTGTCAGCGTCCCCAGCAGACCTTACCCCCCAGCCTGCCGCCGAGGCTGTGGTGGGGCGGAAGGGTGACACGGATGCCAACCCCATGTCAATCAACGAGGTCATCATGTCGGCCTCAGGAGCTTGCAAGCTCATCGACTCCCTCCACTCGTACTGTTTCTCCTCCAGGCAGAACAAAAGCCAGGTGTGCTGCCTGCGAGAGCAGGTGGAAAAGAAGAATGGAGAGTTGAAACTTTTGAGGCAGAGGATCAGTCGCTCTGATAGTCAAGTCAGGAAGCTGAAGGAGAAGCTTGATGAGCTGAAGAGGATCAGTTTCCCTTACTTGAACAGCCTGCTATCCCAGGACTGTGGTCAGTATCCCCATTGGCTTTCCCTTGAGGCAGGAGTCACTGTTTTTTTTTTAGCAGTAAGAGGCTGTTTAAGTTAGAGGTCATAAAGGTGTGATGGGGTAAAAAGGTAAGAGAAAGGTAGCTTTTTGAAAGGAGAAGTAGTAGCTTGTGTTAGACCAACAGACAGAGATGAAAACATTAGGTTTTTGGGCACATGAGCTATTTCTTATCTCCAGAGTTTCTGAGGGGATTCCTGGTGCGGAATGGGAAGTTAGGTCGTGATGTTGCAGACAACTCTCTTGATGACTTTTTTTTTAATTTTTTTTTTCTTCCTGGTTTATTTCAACTTGTTTGTTTGTGACTTGATAGCACTGGTTATGATTTGCCTTCCTTTGGACTGTGCTTGTGGATTTTTTCAGTGAGTTAGTGAGCCGTCATAGGCAGCAGGTATCTGGGAAAGCTGTCATAGTCTTCCTCAGTGATGTAAGAAGTACTTCTGATCTTAGATTTCATATAATGCACTCCGTACTCAGGATATGTGAAATATAAGTGAGGTGGTAGCTGTCAAATATGACAATGTCATGGTACAGGGTGAGGTCAATTTTTGTGACTGAGTGCCTCTGTTTGGTTTGATCATTTCCTCCCTCAGAAGGTGGAAGAAGTCAGGAAAGAAATTATAAAAGTGGGAAGAGATGGAGAATAATGTATCCATTGATTAAAAGCAATTTGCAACACCTGAAAACATAGGGGAACTCGGTGAGGGATGTGGTCACGTAGCAAGGTTCTTGCAGAGGAGTCGAAACGGACTTTTCTTGCAAGAAAAAGAGTGCTTTAATATACAGCTGATAAAACTTTTGCACAATGACTCTAGTTACATGATACAGTTTGGGGGAGTTTAGGAGTGTCTGTTGATTGGTGCTGAGAAAACGCGGGGTTGCCTTGTGAAGGATGCGTGACTTGGGACTTTCTTGAAGAAGCCACCCATGGATGGTTAGGTATTACCCCATGGTAATTCTCAAATCCATTACGAGGTTTCTTCTCCTAAAGAACCTCATGGCTGCTTCTAAAGCCATGTAGTATTAGACATGGTCAGAAACATGACGCTGGCATAGAAAGACATGTTCTTCAGACTCTTGTAGCATGGCTTGCTTCCTTGCTCAAGTGCAAGAAAATAAATCCCAACAAAATTCTTGAAGGTTGATACCCAATGCTACTTTTTCCATGTGTTTTTAATTTTTCGAAGTGTGGAAAAACTCACACTCTGATTTGGGTAGAGGAGGGAAAAAAATTTTTTTGCCCATGGGAAATCAGCATAGTCTTATTTGTACCTTCTGGTCTGTGTTTGTGTATTGGTTTGGTGTCACACTAAAGAAAAGAGCTGTTGTGGTTTGGGCTGGACTGGCCACTGGAGTGACAAATGC